AATCCAGTAAGAAACTCTCCCCCAGCTTTCAACCCATGTAACTCCTTTCCTATGCAACCTACAGTAGAGGTGGCCAAAGGGCTGTAGAAAAGATGTCCAAGTGGAATTGCTTGATCACGCAAGAAAGACGGGGGAAAAGGGTTGGAAAGCTCCTTCCCAAGCAGAGTCTAGGACGTCTCTTGAGACATCAGCCCTCCAAGAGATACTGCCTCTGGTCACCACTGGACAGGAATTAGGATCATGAGCCATGAGATTATGTTTACCCTTGAACTTCAGCCTTGACTTCCCATCCAGCCTGCTAGTGATCCACAAGCCCTATCCAAATGAAAGTTTGGCTGTTAATTTTGTCAAATTAAAAGTATAGCAAGCAAACAAGGTAGCCTCTGGCTCCTTCCACTGCATCAGTCACACTCACAGATCTGCATCTCCTGCAGTGATCTATTTTTGCCAGCACCTGAGAAGTCCTGTTGGCCATTTTATAGGTGAGATTGCTTTCCTCTCTTCTTCTTCTACCCAGGAAACTTCAGAGTGGAACTTGCAAATGTCCTTGGAGAGGGAATAAGCATGAAAACATGGGAAAAAATTAATCTCAATGGAAATCCTTGACTAATTGACAGGTTGGAATAAGAATGACCATAGACCCCAAACTATGCCAGGCAACCAGCCTGCTCCAGGCACTGCAAGTTCACTCAGCCAGCCACATGCCTGGCTGTTTTGCTCTGCCAGCTTTACAAGGTCTAATTAGCTTTATTCCTTTTGTTTGTAATTACAAAAGCAAATAGCCCTTGGAGAGTGAGGGAACAGAGGAGGCAGGTCCTTGACTGATCTTAAGAAAATGTTTTAAATAAAGTTTTCCTCTCATCACGTGTACTTAAAAATATGAAAGGGATGAACACAAGAACCCTGGTGAATGGAAAAAGGTTTCCAGGGCAGTTAGAATCAGGGGGATAAATCCTTGCTATCCTGGGGAGTTATCAGTGCACGTTAGAAGATACCATCTCCAGCAGGAACAATTCTCTACCTGGCCTGCAAAAAAGGCACACCTAGCTACCTTCCCAAAGGGGCTTTAGAATGAGATGGATCCTCCCACAGCCCATCTTATCATGATCCTGCTAACCCAGAAATGTCAAGGAAGGGCACATAAGAGCTTAAGACACACATATGGATCAGCAGGTCTCTTGCTGCTTTGGAGGCAGAGCATCTCATGCAGATAGCCACAGTTTGCACATACCCTACCTCAGATAAAGCTACAGAGTACAACAGCACTGAAACTCAGAGCACCTCTCCTGGGAGCATCTTGGCTCCACACCCCATCCCTTCCCCATTCTTGCAGCTCCCACTCCCCTGCGAGGGAGCCATCTGCCTTCCCCCTGCCCCTTCCTGCTCCACCCAGGGTGCAGCCTGCCTTGCTGAGGAGCAGACCTTCTGGTTCCTGGGCTGCAATCGTTGCAGATTACTGGGTGAGTTTCTGCCAGAGGCCACAACTGCCTGACTCACTGCAGAAGATCTGTCCCCACCTATGTCTGCTGTAGATACACACAGCTAAACAAGCTCCATCCTGGCAGGCAGGCTCCCAAAAGCCCAAGCCCTGTTCTTCTCTTCTATGCACACTGTCCAAGTTCTACTCAAAACCAAGAAATGAAGTAATAGTCTGGTTTTCCTTAAAAAAAGTCCATTTATTGAAATTGTTTAAACACTTTATACAAGTTCCCAATACAAGCTTCTGCTCCCTGGCTCAGGGTTAATGCAAATACAAAAGCACAGACTTCAGCAGCTCTTTAGTGTGACCTGAGCTGCCACCTCCCAAGACAAGAGGTCTCACGAGGCAGCTGCTGTGCACAGGCAATTCCCCTGGAGAAGTGAAAGCCATATGACCCAGCTCCAATTACAGGCCAACATCAACTCAAGCCTGAAGCTAATGCTCTGGTTGGTTTCTTTAGGTAACTATGTTGCACGAGTCAGGTCGAACAGAGGTACAAGGCTTGTACAAACCACCAACGCCATGGTGGTACATAGCTCAGCCAGAGGCTCTCCCTGTCTACAGAAGGAAATCAAGAGATGTGATGCCTCTGAACAAATACACAATTATAAAGCCTGGTCAGAGGCACCCAGTTTTCTTCTCTACAGAAAGGCTGAGCTTTGTTGGACCGGTACCATCCTTCTAGGAATTACAAGACTTAACTCTCAGTGTTAGTCAACACCAAGTGACTGGGTGTTTCAGGGGAATGGGTGGGAACCTTTGATAAGCTGCATTATTCCTTTCTTCGTTTTTGTTTTTTTTTTTTTTTAAAGGATATGACTTAATATGCAAGGATGGCTTTATCTAAAATGTTGGTTTCTTCCTCTTTGGTGAACATTACAAGAAAATGCCATAACCTTTGGGTCAGTTTTCTTGGAATTTGCCTTCATATCATCACTGAAAGTGTTTACAAGAAAAGAGACAAGATCAAATGGCAGTGTGTGAGGTATCCTTGGGGAAACATCAGGGAGTGGCAGTGCATTCAGTCTGATTTAACACAGCCAGCTGCATGAGGCAGAGATTGGTAAACTAAGCCCAAAAAAGAAAGACTCAGGGAAA